ATGAACTAGTGCATGCCTTTAAGCCCAGCACTTGGGAGGAGGTAGAAGGAGGATCACTGTGAGTTGAGGCCAGTTTGGGCTACTTAAGCAAGTTCAAGGCCAGCCTGAACTACACAGCAAGATCCTATCTCAAAAAACAAGACAAAACACAAAACCCACCAACAAAACCTAATAAAACAACAAAAACAAACCCACAGAAAGAAAGAAAGAAAGAAAGAAAGAAAGAAAGAAAGAAAGAAAGAAAGAAATGAAGGAACAAACAAGCAGTCAATCAAGCAAACAGATCAAAAAGCAAGATATCAGGCAGGTATAATCCCAACACTCAATATTCAGGAGGCTGAGAAAAAGACCACAAGTTTGAAGACAGGCTAGTACATAAGGAACCCAAGGCCAACCTGGACTACATGGTGAGATCCTATCTCAAAAAACAAAAACAAAAACTATCAGGTCTCTCCCAAAATACTTGTTTTTACATAGCTTACTCTAAATGGATTACGGTCGCAGATCTCTTTGAATACTTACAAACTTCTTTTCCCAGTAAGATATCATGATATTGGAAGGAAAAACTGAATAATGAACAGGATACAGAATTTGAGATACCCCTTACATTACAGTGGAACCTTAATTCTCTGCACAATCCTGGTTCCAAAATGAACCGGACAAGAACCGAATCAAATTTCCCCATAATGTCTACATTGAACCTAATCACTGAGTTATTTATTTATTTATTTATTAGTCTTTTGGACACAGGATCTTGCTATGCAGTTCGGGCTGGCTTTGAGCTCACTTTGTAGCCCAGGCTGTTCTTGAACTTGTTGTAATCCTCGTGCTTCAGCCTCTCCAGTGTTAGAATTACCGGCATGTACCACCATGCTCAGTCTAACCACTGAATTTGATTCAGTTCTAGTGCAATTCAGTTTGTGACCAGAATCATGGAAAGAATCAAGTGTGTGAAATGAGGTACCACTGTTAACTGGTTGTATGATACCAATAAGTTGATTTCCCAATTCTTTTCAATTATGAAATTAAACCATTAGGATCCTTTCAGTTAATCAGAGCATTGTTACAAAAGTGAAGCCAGCAACAGTAACCTTACTTTCCACTGAGGTTAGAATAAGCATCTCAGTGGAAGAACAAATATCCCCAGTTTTCCACGGGCAGATAGGCAAAAATTAAACCACAAAAATTTCCTCCTCCTTAGTGATAACAATTAGTGTCTTCTGGTGACACAATAAATCCAAGGTGTTACAGCAAGTGCATTTTCACCCACCTTTCATTTCCCAAACCACAAAAAAGGCAATTTTGAGATCCATTCAGGGTAGGCATCTCGAATCTCCGATGAATAAAGGATTCTCAAGAACAGAGAAATCTTAGGTTGGCCAGGCTGTGCTCTTCCCCACCCAGTCTGATCATTTAAGGCATTCACTGAATCAACTGATGTGCTGGACGCTCTGCTCTAGCACAAGTGACACTCCAGGGTTCCAGAAGTCTGAGGCAGGAAAAGCACTCCCTTCCCTTCTCACTATATACAGACTTCCCATATAAGCCTACTAACTCTCATTTTTTTTTCTACATGTTTTCAAGTCTGAAAGGTGTAAGCTGGCATTTTATATATAGCTCCAGTACTAAGAATCTTACCTGCACCTTCCCATTCCTCTCCAAATCATGATTTTAAACTGATTCAGAGCATTTCCTACTTTGGTCTGGTGTCCTGTCTTGCCAAGTAAAAGGCTTGATACCCTTCTTAAAAGTGAAGAATCGTAGTATTTTTTTGTACCGGACATTGAACTCATGACTCTGCGTTTGCCAAGCAGGCACTTACACTGCTGAGCTAAACCCCTGGCCTGGTGCCCTGTTTTGTACAAAGTACTGCACTGGATCTACAAAACTCACTACAGGGGACTGGGGATTTAGCTCAGCGGCATAAACGCCTGCCTTGCAAGAAGGCAGTCATGAGTTCGATTCCTGGTACTGATAAAAAGAAAAAAGACAAAAAAAAAAAAATTGCATAGTGAGGAGAGATTACATACAAGGAGACAGACGTAAGGAGATGAAACAAAGCATCAGAAGGCAGAACGTTTCTAAACAGATGGGAGACTGAATAAGTACAGTACACCCAAACAAGTACAACAATGCTATATTCTTATAAACATTAAGCCCTCATGTGTTAAAAATTCAAAAATCAAGCCAGGTGTGGTGGCACACTTCTGTAATCCCAAGTGTGTAACCTAACACTAGGGAGGCTGAAGCAGGAGGTTTCCGAGTTCAAGGCCAGTTTGAACTACACAGTAAGTTTCAGACCAGTTTAAACCACATAGTGAGATCCTGTTTCAAAGCCAGACAAAAAACAAAAAATCAAAGGATCACTACAGTGAGCTCTGCCAGGCAGTGCTCTTCCCCAAGATAGCGGGGGCAGGTGCAGTGGCCCACACTTGTAATCCTATCACTAGTGAGACTGAGGCAGGAAGATTGCCTCAAAGTTGAGGCCAGTCTAGGCTACATAGTGAGATTCCCCTCTCCCCCCAAAAAAGGCTGTAATAAATACAGGCTCAATATTATAGATAAGACAATGACAAGTATTTAAATCTTTAAAAAGAAAACAGTTATGTGTGGGCAGGTTATGGGAAATTTAATCAAGCAGTAGCAATTGTGTGTGTATTAGGAGGTTAAATGAGTATTTCTGGCAGAATCTTTCCAAGCATTTTAAGAATGAATTCAGACTATGAGGCAGGATTCTATCTTTAAAGCAGCCTTAAAGACTGTCTTTGTTTTGAAAGCATGACAGCCTGCTGTTTGAAATATGCCAAAAGGCTTTCCTCTGTGGTTCTTCTCTGGGGAATAAGATTAGCATACAGTTAAAAATTTAGCTTCCTTCCCAAGTAAATTAATGCCATTGTACCAGTGACATGTGTTCAGAAAATTCTGGGATGAGTTATAGTCCCTTTCCATTACCTTAGAAAATACTATCATTTCTTAAAAGTTACCAGTTCAAGTTAAAAACTGAGGCAGATTCTTGTCTGTTGAATTTTCTCATAACTGAAAACATGCTCCCACTGGTGCAACCACTGTGGAAATCAGTGTAGCAATTCCTCAAAAAAACTAGGACTAAGAGCTTCCATTCAATCTAGCTATTTCCCTTCTTGGTATCTTCCTGAAAGAATTAAAAGCATCATGCCACAGCAACATACACACGCCCATTTTTTAATAGCAACACAGTTTGTAATAGCTAAATCTTGAAAACAGCCTAAATGGTATATGGACAAAGAAAATGTGTTTTTTTAATAAAAAAAATATAATGGAGTACTAGTCTGCCATGAAGAATATGCTTGAAACATTTCTAGCTAAATGGATGCACGTTGAGATCATACTCTTTTTTTTGGTACTGGGGATTGAACTAATGACCTAACGCTTACCAGGCAGGCGCCTGTGCCACTGAGCTAAACCCCCAGCAAGACCAAGTGAAGTAAGTCAGACATATGTGTGTAACTACGCGTTGTTTCTGTGGTATGAGAAACCACAGACCAAAGTGTAAAGTGTAAAGACCAAAATGTGTAACAGATACTTTAAAATAGGAAGAAAATGTTCAACTGGGAAGGGGAACTAGGGAGGGGGGAAGGGAAAGGAAGGAAGGAAAAAGAATGAGAAAAAAACGGAAACAGCTTTCGTAAATAAGGAGGGGAAGAGGGGTTGAAGGAAGGATAGAGGAATGGGAAAAAAAAAGGAATCAAGTTAGATCATGTACAGGTACAAATTTCCTATAATGAACTGATCATTATGCATACCTAAAATGTACCAGTAAACTTTAATTAAAAAAAAAAAAAAAGCATACTCCACGGGGCCAGTCTGGAACAGGCTGGATAGGAGGCAGGATTCTTCAATGAAGTAAACCCCTGGCTAGGAAGTCAGTTGTTCTGCCGCGGACTTGTTTTAACACTTCCTTGAGCCTGGCTCTCCACTGGCAGCGATGGACTTGGCCTGCTTGGGTCATTTCAGTCTTCCGAGGCAGCCACCTTTCCCCTACAGTCCTATGGCTGGATCCTGTCAAGGGCCCTCTCAGATTTTTATCCCTCCGAGTTGGCAAGGACTTCCCCTTATTCTACAGGCCTTATTATTGTGTAACAGATCCAAGGTTGGCCCAGGCCTAGCTGCAAAGGATTGGTTGTAGTACAACCCAGGAGCCCTGCCCTCAGGAAACGGGCCAGGAATCTTGTAGACTGCAGAGTCTGCCAGAGAAGTCCCCACCCTCTATCAAGAGGCTGTCCGCTCAGTCACCCAAAGAAGGCAAAGTTCTAAAGTTAAAAGCAAGCCTCGTTTCCCTTCAGTAAAGCCCTCAAAATCGCCTTCCAGGCTCCTCCCTCTGGAGAACAGCCCGGCCTAGGGACAGACAACCTCTGAGCTCCCTTTACCTCTATCCTAGTGTTGCTTGTAAACAGTTCCCAGTCGACCTTTCAAAAGCGGTGATCAAAAACCTCTCTCGGCACCGCCAGTCTCTACCAGCCCTGCCCCCCTAGAATCAGGTATCTTGCTCAACAAAGCTCCCTGCGATCCGCCTCCCAAGGCGACCACCGAAACCTTACCCTCAAGGCTGCCAGCACCCTCCCCCTCCCTCCTTCTGCTAGGCTACTGCACACAGGCACTCCTGGTGCTTCATCCAGCAAAGTAAACAATGCTGTCAAAGCAGGACGACGCTGGGCAAGGCATTCCGCCCTCTTCCTGATTTTCTAAAAACCGCAAAACATTGCATCACACGGTCTCGTGGCTCATTCCTCTCTCCAACTCCCTTTCTAAGAACAAGAAGGCCCGATGGACGCTCTACAATCAAGCACCAAGGCACACAAATACATGATTACACGACGGAGGGACTCAGGGTGCAGCAAGCGTCCCCAAGGCGGCGGCGGAGGGAGGAGAGGGCGTGACACGGCGGCGAGGCGGGCGCCCAGGCCCGCGGGACCGCCACGTTCCTGAGGGGCGGCGTGGGCTGGGGCAGGGCGCGCGCTCACCTCCCGGCGTGGTGGAGAACAGCGTCCCCCCGGGCGTGGTGCAATAGTCATGAGGTAGCTGCGCGGCGTCGCTGATGGGCACGGTGCGGGTTGGGATGGCGCGGCTCTGGCTGGGCTGGTGGCCGCTGCCGGCGGACGAGGACATGGCTCCAGAGCGGGCTCTCGGCTTTGTCCGGCCAGCGGGCGGGCGGGCGAGCGGGCGGGCGGGCGAGCGGGCGGGCGGGCGGGCGGGCAGGCGGACAGGCGGCGGCGGCGGCGGCTGCGGGGCCCGGGAGACGCCGGCACCTCAGGAGGACGGAAGGGCGCACACCGCTCGCTCCTCGTTCGCCTCTTCTCGCTCCCTCGTCCTGCTCCTTCCCTGCCGCCGCCGCCCTCTCGCCGCCGCCGCCGCCGCCTGACTCTCAGACACCCGCCACTAGCCCCAGCAGCAGTAGTAGCAGCGGCAGCAGCGGCAGCAGCGGCGACGACGACCGGAAGTGGGGGAAGGCGGGAGCAGAAGGTGTTCGCGGAAAGCAGGTCGGCCGGAAGTGACGTCAATGGGCGTGGTCTCGCGTGGACAGGGCGGAGCGTACCCTAACGGAGAGGCTAGCAGAGGAACCCATCTGAACCAGCCAAACTCCTCACTTCCCCTCTCCCTCTCTCCCTCTCTCCCTCTCTCCCTCCCTCCCTCCCTCCCTCCTTCCCTCTCTCCCTCTCTCCCTCTCTCTCTCTCTCTCTCTCTCTCTCTCTCTCTCTCTGTGTCTGTGTGCATGTCTGTGCCTTGCAAAGAAACCTTTCTAAGCCAGGCAAAAGTGTGTGTGTGTCTGTCTGTCTGTCTCTGTTGCTTAACACAAAATCCTATCACATCCTCCTCCAGCATCCATGTGGCTTGCTGAGCAGTGGAAGAGTTGCCGTTTTCCTCGGGCTAACCCCGGTCTCTCCCGGCCTCAGTTCCCTCCTTTGCAGGTCCTGTGCTGGTCCTGCTCACGATCCTCTTCCTAGTCCCACTGGCAAGCTGCGGTTGGGGGAGCCCCTTGGCGCAGCCCCCCTCTTCCAACTACACATCTGTGTAAGGCTGACTTTCCTTCACATACCTGAACTAAAACACATCGCAACAGGCTGAATCAGGAACAGATATAAAAGTCCAGCTGTCTTCTCTTTAGCCAAATGTTAAAGTGTTTGTAAAGCCTGGCATGGGGTGGGGCACACCTGCAATCCCAGCACATTGCAAGCTGAGGCTGGAGAATCACTGTGAGTTTCAGGCCAGCCTGAACTACAAAGCAAGACCTTGTCTCAAACACAAAAAATAAAATATTCAAAATGTAAAACAACAGTGCTACTGTTTTCATTAATTTTTTTTGTTTTGGAAAATGTACTGAGTTTTAATAAAAATACTTTATTGCATAACATATAATGGGTTACTTTACAAAATAATAAATATCTTTAAAATTTCTCAGTTCTAATTTCCAGTACAGGCTTGTGCCGTGACACATGGCTGTAATCCCAGCACAGAGGAGGCTGAGGCAGGAGGACTGCTGTGAGTTTGGAGCCAGCCGGGGCTACATAGTGAGTTCAAGACCTCATAGTGAGACCTTGCCTCAAAAAAAAGTGCTGGGGATATAGCTCAGTGGTGCAGAGCCTGCCTGGCAAGTATGAGGTCATAAGTTTGATTCCAGGTACAAAAAATAAGTTTAAATTTTTTTAAATTTCCAATGCAGTAATTACCAATAGATATGACCAATACTAACAAAAGTTCTTCAAAATCCTCAATACTTTTTAAGAATTTTAGGTACTGAGACCAAAAAGTGTGAGAACTCCTAGGAGAGATTTTTATGCTTTTGCATTCCAGATGTAGTTGCCAGGTAACTTGTAGTCTTAACTCTCTCTGTGCCTCAGTTCATCTATAATACAATAGTCATTCTTGTGATGTGGATGCCTATTGATCTCTTCCTTTTCCTAGTGAACTCTGGGGCGCTCCCTGCAAAAACATATCACACATCTAATTTGGTGCTTGGTGTGAGTACAGGGATAGTCTCTGGAAAGATACACAATAAACTGGTACCAGTGATTACTCCTGAAAAAATTGGCAAACTAAAAAAAAAAAAAAATTGGCAAACTGGGAGAAATTGGCATGGTGAACCTTTCTACTGTGCTAGATTTTTAAAGACTACATTATACATGTGTATTGCTTGTATTTCATAATGAATAATTGAAAGTAAAATTATACTTTGTGGGGGAGTTTACTGAGGATTGAACTCAGGACTTTTGCCCTGAGATGTTTGTCTGTCCTTGTTTGTTTTTGAGATAGAGTCTCGATAAATTACTAAATTGCCTAGGCTGGGCCTGAACTTCCTGCCTCAGCTTCCCAGGATGCTGAGATTACAAGGCATACACTACCACACCCAGCTAAATTACTTTTTTTTTTTTTTTCTGGTACTGAGGATCACACACAGGGCCTTTGCACTAAACTACATATCCCTAGCTCTTTTATTATTTTGTATTCTGTCATAGGGTTTTGCTAAGTCACTAAATTGTTCAATACAGGTTCAAACTTCTGATCTACCTGCCTCAGACTCACAGCATGGTGAGATCACCATACATGGCTCCAGAAGACGTTTAATGAATATGCACTTTTAATAGATACAGATAAATAGGAAGTTTAACGTAGCTCAAGGGAAAGCAGTGTTGATAGCTCCCAGTACTCGGGAGGCTGAGGCAGGAGGATCAGTGTGAGTTCAAGGCCAACATGAACTGTACAGTGAAACCTTGTCTCAAAAAAAGAAAGGAAGAAAACTTAGCCTCAAGAGACCCGTAGGCTCTCAATGTGCCAAGAGAAAAAGGCTTTTCTAGTGGAAGGGAAAGGCAAGATGCTAGTTTGCACGTTGCATGTGCGGGGAGTTTACCAAGCACGTGCTTCACGGAAGGCGCCCTCTCTGATGTGTCTCAACTGAGAGATTCCTAGTGCTCTGGGAAGAGCAAGGGCAGCTTTCTGATTAAAACAAAGGGTGTAGATATTAAAAAATGTTAGATGCAGAGGGGCAGGGCTAGAGATGAATGAAATGAAATAAATGAAACTCAGAGCAGAGTGCAATCTCCAAGTTTGGTGGGGTGGGAGAGTCCACCATCTTACATTCCCTTCAGCTTGTGTATGAGGGGTCCAGTTTCTCCACATTCATGATCAAAATTTGTTAATACCTTTTTTGCTTTGTTTTGTTTTGTTTGAGAGGGGGCCTCTGTGTAGTTCAAATTGGCTTTGAACTTGCAATCCTCCTGCCTCAGCCTCCCAAGTACTAGGATTATAATGTCTGCTGTAACATTTGGCTTAATGCCTTTTTTGTTTTAGCCAGCATAGGCAGTGTTGAGTGGTAACTCTTTGTGCTTTTGATTTGCATTTCCCTAATGATTAACACTGTTGGGCATCCTCACGTGCCTATTGGCCTTTCCAAGGTATATCTTTTTTCCCCTCATTTTGTGGCCATGAGTGTTGAACCTAAGGCCTTTGAACTGAGCTACTTATAAATCTCCAGCCCTTTTAAAATTAAGTTGTCAGGTGGCGACCCATTCTGGACCCCTCATTCAGCTCTCAGGAGCTATTTCTTTCTCATTCCAATTCCCTGATAAATTTTCCTACTCTTTAAAAAATATTTTAAAAAGTAAAATTAACTTGTCCAAACTGGGCTCCAACTTGCAATCCTCCTGCATCAGCCTCCAGAATGCTAGCTTTACACCTGGCTTCCTTTTTTGCCAGCATCAGATCTATGTATTCATTTTGAAAATTTTGTCATTAATTATCATAAACGCTGATCAATAGTCCAGCAGACCCAAGATATCTTCACTGAAGAAATGTCTGTTCAAATAATTTGCTTGTTTTCTGTTTTGTTTGAGACAGGGTCTCGCTATATAACCCAGGCTGGCCTCGAACACAATGCATCATTTTGGGGGGGGGGGGTACCGGGGATCTAACTTAGGATTCCACACATGCAAGGCAGGCGCTTATGCTGCTGAGCAAAATCCTCAGCCCCAATGCCCCATATTCTTTTTTTTTTTTTTTTTTTTTTTTCCTTTTTATCAGTACTGGGGATCTGCACTGCCTGCTTGCAAGGCAGGTGCTTATGCTGCTGAGCTAAATCCCCAGCCCCATGCCTCATATTCTTGAGTAGCTGGAATTATAGGTGTGCACCACCATATCCAGTCATTTGTTTGTTTCAAAATTGAGTTACTTAGTTGGGTGTCTTAGTTACTTTTGTTCTTGCTGAATCAAAATACCAAACACTCACAAGTTAAGAGAGGAAAGGTTTATTTAGCTTACGGTTTGTAGAGGTTTCAGTCCATAGTTGGCTGGCTCTAAGCAGATGGCAGAGGGGAAACAGTTCATGGTGACAGAAAACACCAAAAGCAACAAGCAAATGAGACAAGCCTCTTTCTGTCCCTTATATGAAGGCTACCCACTATAGGGCGGGTGTGCCACTCACATCCTTAATTCCAGTGCTGGACCATGAATCGATTGCAAACTCAGATTCAGCCACCTCTAAAAACCTGCCCCCTCATGACTGCATGAGGCTTTGGGGGAACGTCTAGACACAAACCATAGCATTCTGCCCCTGCCCCCCCACCAAAGACTCATGTACATTCATTTACCTAAAAGGCATGAGAAAATGTTTGCTTAGCTTTCCAGCCCTTGCACTATAAGGAAGTTGGAACCAGAAGGCATTAGAAAGCTATTACAGGCACCAACCTATGTCTCTTCCCGACAGATGGGAGGTAGCTCAGTAGTAGAGTTCTCGTGAGCATAGATCCAGTAACGTGTTATTCACAAGGTCAGCTTTGGCTCACGGCAGTAGTTTGCAGAACCCTGCCTTTGTCTGTACTGTTGACTAACTCCACAAAGATTAATGAGCACTTACTGTGTGGGGAGCAGGAAATACAGCGATTAACAGGATGGCCCCTGGTGACTCCCTACATTTTTCTGCCTAAAGGGTTCCCTGTTCCGTATTCAGTTTGGGTGCTCCCCTTTGGCTTTCTTCTGCCAGCAGGGCCCTTATTTCCCTCGCTCTGTGCTGGCATGCACACCATAGGTCACTTAAGCAAAACTTCTGCGTCTGAGAGAAATGTTAGACGTCATGGGCAGAGAAGTCTGGGAGTGGCCAAGAGACCGTCTGGTTTTCCTATTCCAGTGAGTATTTTTGTTTATTGACAGGATTAACTTATAATTCACACACACAACAAAATGTACCCTTTTCAAGTATACCTGTGGGTACACTTTGATAAATGTTCATATCACTGCTACAATTAAGACACAAAACATTTTAATCACACCCCAGTGTTCTTTTACCCTTCACAGTCAGCCACATATGTGTCCACTCCTACTCCCTAGCCCAGACACCCCCTGGCCTGCTTTCTATCACTATTGATTGGTTTTCATGTTTTACATGCATGGAATTTCAGTATATGTGCTATTTTATATCTAGCTTCTTTGCTCACTTAATACGAGGCTTGTA